TTAATCATGGGACACGTGGGTGGCATGACAAGGATGAATCAAGTGTAAAAAAGTGGGCCCTTTTGTCAAAAATTGAAGTTTCAAGGATAGTTGACTTTGGCCATTTCACAAACATTTCCCAACTTCTCCAATGCATATCTTGCTCAATTTTAATCATATGAACATGTTCTTAGACATTTTGGAAAGGTCTTGAAGTCCTCTAACCAATGCCTTTGGTCCCATGTCATTTTGATTTACCAATCTCAAGTTATGGTCTTTGACTTAAAATGCCTTTTTGTTGACTTTTGAAAATGACCTATAATGTTGAAATTGATAACTTTTTGTGAGAGCATTTCTTGGAATTGGAATGTGAAGATGAGTTGTAGGAAATGTCATCCCCTTCAAAATGAGCATTGGATGGGATTTTTCTGATGAACCATGAAAAGTTATGCCTTGGTCAAGTTACAGTTGACTTTTCAGCTGTCCAAAAATAGAAACTTTTGACACCTTGATGATTTTTGAGCCATTCTTGTGGAATCATGATCAAGATTTGATCCAATGATGATTGTGGTTTCAAAATAAGATGTTGACCAAAATTTTTGACTTTTGACTGCCAAATGACCATTTTGCCCCTGTAGTTGACTGTGGGGCAATTAGGGTTTTTGACTGTGCAACTTGACCTTGTGAGCCTTGAAACTTGACATGTGGATGCTTGACAATGTTTATAGGCATATGGGACTTGATTGAGCCCTTGAAAACCTTAACTTCCTTGCAAGAACCAAAACCCTAATTTGACTGGCTTAGGAGGATGGTTTGGCTGTGCAACCCTTGAGTAGACTTGAGCAAATTGAGATGATGCTTGTATAAAACCTTGAAGAATATGGGAGGGCAAATTTTGGGGTACAACAACCGCCCTTTCGGGTTTTTGGTCCACCGAGATGCCCATTTTTTCCGAAGTCGCCCTTTCGGGTTTTCGACTTGCCGGGTCGTTTTATGCATAGTATCTTTTGACTATGTCTGCGTTCACAGGGTGCGGCAAGTCATCGATGTCCATGGTGGTCAGAATCATTGCCCCACCAGAAAAGATGCTCTTGATTACAAATGGTCCTTCGTAAGTAGGAGTCCACTTGCCCCTGGGATCACTTTGCGGTAAGATGATCCGCTTGATTACAAGATCTCCGACCTGATATACCTGACGCCTAACCTTTTTGTTGAAAGCCTTGATCATCCGCTTTTGATACGTCTGACCATGACAAATAGCGGTAAGTCGCTTCTCGTCGATCAAGTTAAGTTGATCAAGACGGGTCTGAATCCAATCGTCTTTACTCAAACCGGCATCCTTCATAATCCTCAAGGAAGGAATCTGAACTTCATAGGCAGAACAACTTCCATGCCATATACCAAAGAAAATGGAGTTGCCCCTGTTGAAGTACGTGTCGTGGTACGATATCCATGCAGAGCAAACGGTAACATCTCATGCCAGTCCTTGTAGGTGACTGTCATCTTTTGAATGATCTTCTTAATATTTTTGTTCGTGGCTTCAATAGCACCGTTCATCTTCGGCCGGTAGGGAGATGAATTATGATGATAAATCTTGAACTGCTCGCATAGAGCGGTGATCATAGTATTGTTCAAATTTGTACCATTGTCTGTGATGATACTGTCGGGGATACCATACTGGTATATGAGGTTCTGCTTGATGAAGCGGGCAACCACATTCTTCGTAACAGAGGCATAGGAAGCTGCTTCGACCCACTTGGTGAAATAATCAATAGCGACCAAGATGAAGCGATGTCCATTGGATGTCGTGGGTTTGATCTCTCCGATCATGTCAATGCCCCACATTGCGAATGGCCAAGGAGCTGTCAGAATGTTGAGAGGAACAAGAGGAATATGTACCTTGTCGGCATAGACTTGGCATTTGTGGCAGGTACGGGAATGTTGATGACAATCAGCTTCCATGGTAGACCAGTAGTAGCCTGCCCTTAGAATCTTCTTAGCCATCGTATGTCCGCTCAAATGGGTGCCAAATGTACCACTGTGTATCTCAGTCATGATCAACTCTGCTTCAGCTTTATCCACACAACAAAGTAAAACACAATCATGGTTGCGCTTATAAAGGATGCCATTGCTTAGGAAGAACTTGGCAGCAAATTTCCTTAAGAACTTCTTGTCATTGACGGAAGCTCCTTCAGGATATTCTCTGGTCTGGAGATACCTTTTGATTTCATGAAACCAGGGTTGTTCCACTACTTCTTCAGTATTAATCTCATGACAGTGTGTAGGTTCGTCCATTCGCTCGATGGTAATTTGGGGAGCCTCGTTATCCCAGTTGAGTTTAAACATGGAAAACATTGTAGCCAGAGCATCGGCTAACTTATTTTCTTCTCGCGGGAAATGCTCGAAGGTAATCTGCTCGAAATGAGGCAACAATATCAATACATGTTCTTTGTATGGGATAAGATTAGGATGTTTAGTGTCCCACTCTCCTTTGACTTGACTGATAACCAAAGTCGAGTCCCCAAATACGACCAAAGATTTGATTCCCAAGTCAATAGCATCCTTGAGACCAAAGATGCAAGCTTCATATTCAGCCATGTTGTTGGTACAACTGAAGCAAAGTCGGGCTGTGAAGGGTGTATGGCAACCATTTGGAGAAATGAGTATTGCACCGACACCGTTTCCAAGTTCATTTGAAGCACCATCAAAGTATAGGGTCCATAGGGATCCTTGTTCAGGTCCGTCATATGGTCTGTTACCTTCGATGTTGTCCAAACTCATGATGTCCTCGTCAGGGAAGTCGAATCCCATAGATTGATAATCTTCGACGGCTTGATGAGCTAGATGGTCAGCTAGTACACTCCCTTTTATAGCTTTTTGGGTAGTATATTGGATGTCATACTCAGTCAGGATCATCTGCCATCTAGCGATTCTTCCAGATAAAGCCGGCTTCTCGAAGATATACTTGATCGAATCCATCTTGGAAATTAACAAAGTGGTATAAGTCAACATATACTGCCTTAGCCGGCGAGCAGCCCATACCAAAGCGCAGCAAGTTTTCTCGAGCAGTGAGTAGCGAGTCTTACAGTCGGTAAACTTGTTGCTAAGGTAATAAATGGCATGCTCTTTTCGGCAAGACTCGTCATGTTGACCTAGTACACACTGAAACAACCGGCTGAAAATCATCAAAACAATGAAGTCGCCATCGAACGTCTTTTATCCCACATGTAGGGAAAGGTAAACATCGAGAAAACCTGATGAGGGAGAAGTCACGGCCTTGCGACCGAGAGATCGGGTAAGGGAGTCTGTTACGCGAGGGAAAGGTATTAGCACCCCACACGCCCGTAGTACTCTACGGTATCCACTCTTGTTATCTATATTATGGGTGTGTTTAATCTATGCTTACTGTTTATTATACTACTAGAAGGAATACATGCAAAAGAAAGGGGGGAAATGTAGGGAAAATAAAAGTTGTGCTCGTTCGGGCCCTACCCCGATGCCTACGTATCCCTTTTAAGGAATCAGAGCAGCTGTAGTTCGGCTTATATGTTTTTGTTTGTTTGTATTTTTTAATGAACAGTATTAATTTCGCCTTCTGCCGCAACTCGACCTTTGGAGACTTACGCGTCAGCACAGAAGTGAATTAACATGCTCTTCTGAAAAGATTTGGAGAAAATGTGCTTGGGCGCACAAAAAGGGTTGAATTTTGTTTGTGTTTGTAATGAACGATATTAATTTCGCCTTCTGCCGCAACTCGACCTTTGGAGATTTACGCGTCAGCACAGAAGTGAATCAATATGCTCTTTTTGAAAAGTTTTTGAAAGAAAGGCCCGAAGGCAAAAAGAGTTTGTGTTTGTTGGTATTTTTGCTTGTAGATAATAGCTAGTTAATCTCAAGGGAGAGATTTTAGCCATGTCTCTACTTATTCATGAAATGAGTCTTTGAGATTTGAACCACGCCGAAGCTTAGAATAAGAGAACAATAAGGTCGAGAAAAGACTCGCTTATCATCTCACATACTTAACGAAGATATGATTCTCGTCAGTAAATTTTTATGTATTTTTGAAGTTTGAAAAAAGAGTTTTAGCTTTAGATGCGTATGCCAAAAGGGAAAGAAAAGTCACAGGGAGACTAGTCTATTTATAAACCTAATTTTATCATGCGTTAGTAGCCCTATGTCAAGGATGAATGAAAGGTAAACATCTTCCTAATATTAGCATGCACATGGATTACGGTAAAGTATGGAAACGAAGAATAAAATAAGGTTGTGACGATACCGAACGGAGAAGGTATGTTGCCTCTTCGACGCCATGCAAGTGATAAGAAAATTCTACCAAAGTTTCCTCGAACGAGTGATTGAAGAATTAACCCCGGGCATTCCACATTGCAAGAGTTATATCAATGCTATCACAAAAATATTGACTAAAAAAGGTCAATAAAAATGATTACCAAATATGAAAAATAAAATAGAAAAAATTCTAATCGAAATTCTAAAAAGAAATTTTAAAGAAATCTAAAATATTCTATTGTATCATTTTATTATCAATTGAGAGAGAAAAAAAATTAAACTAAAATAAAAAACTAAAATAATAAAAGAAAAGAAAAAATTAGAAGAGTTAGGGGGTATGAAGTCTAGAAATATGGGTGCTGAAGTAATGTGATGCATATCCCAATAGCAAGGGTCCAAATTATTTCTTTTTGTTCAGAAACCAAGAGATATACCAAAAAATATGGTAGCGGGCCTGAAGAGAGTGAGGTTAGGTCCATTCCATCACTAATTCCTCTTACAACAAAAACTCATATTTATTTTGTATTATTTCAGCATTGTCTAAGAAAAAATATAAAATAGAAATTGAAGTAAAAATAAAATAAAAGGGAGGATACGGTGTCGTTGCTGCTTAGGGTTAGCATTGTGACTTTTAAGCTTCTGTGAACAAGAATTCATTCCCTTCTTACTCAATTCCGAGACGCCGCGCCGATCTCACCATTCCCTCATTACCGGCGATTTCTTCCTATCTCCGCCTATCTATTCCATCGATTTTCGAAACGATGAGACTCGCTTCGCAATCGCCGTTGATAAATCGTTGCTCCGCTGACGGATGAAGCTTCCGAGATCCGGCATGGTGCTGTTGACGGAGTTACTTGGCGGAGACTCGTCATTTTTGTTTCTCTTCTTCTACGCTTTGGCTTCATAATCAGGCCTTCTTCGACTTCGTCATCTCGCCTCTCTGCTTCGAAGCTCTGCTTGATTCGCTTCTCTTCGTCGTGGATTTGATCGATCACTACAACCACCGTCTTCGTTCCTCTCTTCTCAGTCGGAGTCGCTCCGACGATGATTTGAATGCAAGAGTGAAGCCAGAAATCCAGAGATGTGAATTCAGGTGCGCGTTTTGTTTCTGAATTGTTAATCTTTTTTTCTAATTCATCGATTCTGATTTTGGGAATTATCGTTGTTGAAATTGATCTTGAAATGATGATGATGACGAACCTTATTGTTGTAGGTATGCATGAAGATTCTCGAAGATGAAGCTACAAGGGATGCGATGATGATGGTGTTGTTGCAGAAAGCTTGCCGAGAGTGATGAAGAAATACCCGCTCAGATGCTTCAACCTTTGAGAAATCTTCCAAAATAGATCCAACTGTTTTAAGAAGAAGATGAAGAAGCAATGGAGAATGCGATGCTCTCCGATTCCTCCTACTGTATCCAGCTACTTCTCTTGAGAACTGAAGGAGATTCGATAGAGATAAGTCTTGAGAATGAGATCTGAAAAAGGAGTTTGTTCCCCCTGTATAACTATTTCTTTGTTTCATATTCTCTTCACCTTCTTGTTATGCGTTTTGCTTTGCGATTATGTTTCTGTAGATTGTTGTTGATTGCGTTGCGATTTGATGCAGGTTGGAGATGAAAGTTGGATAGTGAAGATGCATGTACAGATTTAAGGTTGTTATGGATGGAGCGTTGAAGTTCTTTTTCTATGAGAATGGAACAGATACGTTGATGAAGAGGGAAGATGCGGATATGGTCATTGCAGAGAAAGAGAGAAGAATTCAGATCTTTTTGGTGGTGATTCTTTTGTGGATTGAAAAAGCGTGAATGGAGGAAGTGAGAATGAAAGGTAATAAAAATTTGTTTTTTCTGTGTTGAATCCTATCTCCCTATTCTGTCAATCTCCTTTTTGTATATGCTGTGAACTCTATTATATATTTTCTGTAGAGTTTGTTGGGAAAATTGGTTAGGGGTTTGTTTGGACTGTTTTGTTGGTTAGGGATGTTAGTAATGCTGTTTGTTATTCTGTTATGCAGTTGGTTACTGAATGTTAGTTTATTGTAACTGTTTTGGGTTGGTTAAGTTAGTTACAGGGTTGTTTCTATTTTTTGGGTTATGGAAGTTTGTTAGCTGTTAGTTATAATTAGTTATGGACTGTTAGGAATTACTGTTAGTTTGTTATCAATCTGTTAGAAAGTTAAGAAAAGTTGTTAGGTTATTGGAATTGGTTAGATTCAAATGGGTGAGTTGGTTATGAAAAACGGTTAGGGATTAGTTGAAGGTTGGTTAGAAGTGGTAGGTTGTTGGAAATTGTAATGTCAATCTTATGTGAAATTCCAACATCAGTCAATGACTTGGAAATTTCTTTAGAAACCTCTTCATACTTTTGATTTAGAACCAGAGGGAAAATTGTGTACTTAATAGGAGCCACAATTGCAGGAAAGCGAAATACATTTAACTGTTCATCCCCGAATTTACTTGCCCTCGTATAGAAAGAAAACTCAAAATAGGCAATATATAACACATCCAATCCCAAAGGATGGTTCAATCACAGATGGTGTGAAAACTTTTTGATGCAAATTCCTTATCTCTTTGCAAATTGTCACCATATTTTTGTTAATAATTTGCAGTTTTTCCAAGTGTACCCATTTCAAACTCGCCTTCTGATTCCAGTGCAGCCCTCAAATCCAATGCTTCTTTCTTATTCATTGCCTCACGTACTTCAACCCCTCTCTTCTGATTACCCTTGAACGCATGTTTGAAACGTTTCTTCTGATTTAAAATGTAAATGTGTGGCTGGGTTGTATTTATCTGGACAAATCAGTAATTTCTTCTGTTTTTTTTTGAGCTAGTTGGCTGATCTGAGTTTATTGGTGCAGGTTGAAACTCGGAGCGTGAAGATTGAAGAATACACAAAGATGGAGAATTAATGTCAAGGATAAGCATAGCACAGTGGTGAAGGATAATCAAAAGCTTTGGCATGGAGATTGGAATACATGATTCATATGAAGAAGGATTTAGAGATTGGATTATAATTTTTCATGTAATTATTTATGAATATAGTTTTCCATGGTTTTGTAATGGTGTTTCTATAGTTTTCTATAGTTTTGTTGGAGTAGCAACCAGTATAACATCATCTCATTGCTTGGAGATCTGATAAAGTTTTAGATTGCTGAGTAACATTCTTGGACTGCTTTGACCAAGAACATTAAATGAAATGTCCTTCTGAAAATTTATGTAGAAAAAAGTATCCGACATGGGCACCCCAAAATCAATTTCATTTAGTATCCTAAGTGGCTGTGTAGGTTGAACCTGTTGCACTTTTTGCCATCTTAGATATTCCAATTCCTTATTCAATTTTGCACCATAACGAGGCGGGATTGAAATTCTATAAAAAATGCATCGACCAATGGCTCCGCTAGGGTTAAAGTCAATAGTTCTGATCCAAAGATCAACGTCATCCAACAAATCAACGGTAACTGATTCTTCAACATCGTCATTAGCAGTTTTGCATCATATCAAAGGTGGTGAAGCTAAATGTGATAAAACAACATGATACGATGCCTCATCATATCTTTTAATCTCCAATACGTCTCTAACCAAGAACCCCACCTTAAAATGACACTTTATCACTACCTTTTTAGCCATTCCTTTGAGGGAGAATGCAACATCTTGATAGAAACAAAGCTTGCACATGCTATCAACAAAAAGTCCACTAGAAAGTTTACCCCTTTAGCGGGTCCACTCCAAGCAACAGTAAAATTTGATAGGCTAACCAAAGTCCCAATTTCAATGATGACATCTGACATCTTAAAAGATCGCAATTCTCCCCCTTTTATTCAGGAAGTTTGGATTATGTGGCCCACATATGACCTCGTAGTTTGATAAAGAAGAAATTCACAACAACCATCAATCAAAACCCTAGATTCACAATTCAATGTACCAGAAGAATCAGTCTTGTTTGATAAACACCTCGAACCAAAAGAAGATCCGAGCTTCACAACCAATGATTCTCTGAACCATGATTCGACGAAACCTGAATTGGTTAATTGAAGAGTGGATGAATGTCATGTCAAAGTCATTAAGCCTGATCAAATGATAGGCACACTTGTATGAGGAGACATCTTGATTCGAAAACCATGTATGCTAAGTCACGCCCATGAGTTCTTGACAAAAAAAACCTGTAATCTGTTGTTTATCAGAAGGTAATAGCCTTGTTGCTTGAGGGGGGGGGGGAGTCCAAAAAATGAGAATGAATCAAAACCCTAATTCCACAGCTTGCTGCCTGAATAAGAAATCATCCTTTATTGGATATGAGCGCCTTAACCACTGTGATACCCTAGTACCGCACAACCACTGAACTTTGAACCTCAGAGCTATATTGAATGAAATGTATGCCATGTTAGTGACCTAATGAAAAAGATGCAGATGAATGCAAAAGTCTAAGCTAAAATAAAAGAAATTATGAGGGCAAATTTTGGGGTGCAACACACACCCCATTGAGTTATCCAAAACAGTCAGATACATGATTAATGGCCTTCCTTCGACTGGTGGCATCAGAATAGAAGGTTCTAGTAAGTACTCCTTGATCTTATCAAAAGCAACTTGGAAATCGTCATTCCATTCAACTACCTGATCTTTCTTCAGCAGTTTGAAAATTGGCTCGCAGGTAGATGTCAGGTGAGAGATGAACCTTGCAATATAGTTCAAGCGTCACAAGAATCCTCTAACCTCCTTTTCAGTACGGGGGGCAGGCATTTCTTGTATAGCCTTTACTTTAGCCGGATCAACCTCAATGCCCTTGTTGCTGACAATAAATCCCAGAAGTTTACCAGACCTAACTCCAAAAGTGCACTTGCTTGGATTCAGTCTGAGTTTATACTCTTTCAATCTGGCAAACAACTTTTGCAAATGATTAAGGTGTTATTCTTTTGTCTGTGATCGAGCTATCATGTCGTCTACGTAAACTTCGATCTCATGATGTATCATATCATGAAACAAAGCTACCATGGCGCGTTGATAAGTTGTCCCTGCGTTCTTCAGTCTGAACGACATCACTTTGTAGCAGAAGGTACCCCATTGCGTGACAAAGGTAGTTTTCTCCATGTCCTCGGGGGCCATTTTAATCTGGTTGTAGCCCGAGAATCCGTCCATGAAGGAAAAAACCTTGTGTTGAGTTGTGTTGTCAACCAAGATGTCGATATGTGGTAGCGGAAAATCGTCCTTAGGGCTGGCCCTGTTCAAATCCCGATAGTCCACACACATTCTGACCTTGCCGTCCTTTTTGGGTACGGGCACAATGTTAGCAACCCATTGTGGATAGGTTGTAACAGCCAGAAAGCCAGTGTTGAATTGCTTCATTACTTCAGCCTTGATTTTCTCAGACATGTCAGGCCTCATTCGGCGGACCTTTTGCTTGATCAGTGGACAGTCTTCTCTTGTAGGGAGACGGTGAACCACGATATCGGTGTCTAGCCCTTGCATGTCTTTATAAGACCAAGCGAAGATTTCAACATATTCATTCAATAACTGCACTAAGCGTTCCTTGACATCTGGTTCCAGGTTGGCACCCACTTTTACTTCTTTCTTGTCCTCCTCTGTCCCCAAGTTGATGGTTTCTAGCAACTCCTCGTGAGGCAGAACAACCCGCTCTTCTTGTTGCAAAAGTCTGGCTAACTCTCCCGGCACTTCACAATCTTCGTCAACTTCGTACTCAGTGTGATTGACCAAATCCTCAGAGTTATCAAAGGCTGAAACAGAACAGTTGCCCATGGAATCCGGAATGGATGGGTACCTACATTTGTGAGTGTGGGTGTGTAAGGGATAGCCATCCTTAAACAAACAAAAATGCGAAGAGGAAAGGAAAATGAACACAGCAGTTTATAGATGAAAAATGTCCAATGATTCATTAAAACATGGCATATGATAATGAAGAGAATCAAGCCCTTACAAATGGACATGCATGCCCCGGGCAAGGCATGAGGTGAAAATAGTGTGCAAATTGTTTTAGTTATTACAAACCATAAAAATGGGAAATTGTTCAAAGATAAAATTACTGGTTGATAAAGGTGATGGGAACAAAATCCTTTGCTTCCCAGTTGCTCAAACCCCCTTCGACAGTCGGAAAGATCCAATCTTCAAAGTGGCTCTTTTCATCCTCATCTTCTACAGCATTGATTCCATGGTGAGAGATCTTGACGGGTGGTCTTCCAATCTTAGAGCGACGCATAGCCTTTTATCCTACAGCAGTAAACCCCAACCCAAACTTGTTTGTCTTATAGGGAAAATCGGGCAACTGCCCCCATACTGTGCTCTTCCCCTCCTTAATCACAACCTCCGCGTCCTTGAGAGATGCCATCCTAGATGCATACTTGGGCACGATAGGTACCTCAACCATTATCTTCGCAACTGCTACCTCAGGAGAAACTTCCTCAAAATGTTGAAAAGGCGTTTCGATGAACTCGCCATCTAACTCCACATATCGAAAGGAATTGAGATGACTGATCATGTACTCTTCCTCGCCGTGCACAGTTATAATTTTACC